TTCCCCAGATGGTTGCGTTCCCAGTCAGAACGCATGTCAATGTAAGGGGATAAACTCCACACAATCTGACTTGATAGCTCGAACCTATTTTAAAAGGGAAAAAAATTATATATATATATATATATATATATATATATATATATATATTTATATATATATATAATAACAAATAAATAAAATTAATTTAAATTGATGTAAATCTAAAATAACTCTTACCACTGTGCCAAGTGTGGCCCCGTAAACTAACACGGAAGCTTCCAAGCAAAACCATCCTACTATGTTTAGCCTCGTGTTACCCTTCCACGTAAAGTTTGTGAGAAGGATAAACGAGCATAAAATGCAAGAAACGAGGCCAATCACTTTGACGTTGTAAACCTTCGTCCAAATAAAAAATTTCTTAGCAAAATCTTCATTATATTGATTAGTTTTTTTTTAATTAATTTCATTATTAATTTTATGAATTACTTACTCGGTAATTGTAGGCGGAGTAATAGAAGTACATGCAGATATACACAAACTCAACGAGACAGCCAAAAGCATTGATGGAGATAAGTGTGGTGGCTTTGGCATCAAGAACGCCATAGTAAAGCCAGATGGCTGATGAAAAAAGTGCAACGACGTAGGCTATCAAAGGATACCCCGTCGTTGACTTTAATTGGCGTATTCTTCTAAATGTTACCCTATAGAAACAAGGAAACAATTACGATAAAATCAGTATGTTATAGTCTACCGTACTTTTGATGCGTCGAATATTAAATAAATAAATGGGCAAATATTATGTAAATTTCAAACAAACTTACGCAGGAGAAAGATAGACCATCACCAAGACAATAGTACCTAAAAAAAACAATAAATTAGTTAAAAAAAAAAAGAAAAAAAAAAAAAATTGAGCTACTAATTACCTAATATCGCAAACAAAGAAAGTAGATGACTCCTATTCTTATGGGTATGTGAATTAACCTGCAAAAATATTCAAAATAAATACTAAAAATGTAAAACCAAAATAGAAGTAAACATATATACTGTGATGAACAATGAATTCTTTTTAATGACATAAAATATGTATACAAACTAAATAAGAACTGCCAAGAAAAATATGAGAAAAAAATTTAATATTATTCTAGAAAAAAAAAAAGAAAAAAAAAACAAAGAACAGCCTAGCACATTAATGAACCATTAACAATTATTTAGTATTGTTCTAAAAAAAAAAGGAACTTTTTAATACCAAGACCTTAAGAAATTACTTACCATATTAATATTTAACACTTTTCCATCTCCACTGGCGGTTTGAGCATCCATGTTCTTCTTCTTCGTCTTTTTTTTTTTATTATTACTTTTTTTTTTTTTAATTTTCTCCCTTAGTTTATAGAGTTGCTTAAATGTTTTAACAAGCAATCCTCTCCCTTTTATAATCTTATTTAATTAGGTTTTTTTGGTTAATTTCAAATACTAATTTTGTTTTCTAATTAACTTAGATAATACTACATTTGGTCTTAGTACTAAATGAACACGTCTCTCAATAGGAATTGAAATATAAATATTGTCATTAGTGAAAATCTTACTTGAACTTAAGAAATTGTGCACTTAGCTAGAGGCAAAGCAAAAAAAAAAAAAAAAAAAAAGAAACAAATGGAGTAGTGGGGTTTTGATATTTGTAAAACCAACAAATATTGATAACGTGGTCAAATTTAAGAAAATTTTCGTTAAAGGAAATCGAGATAACAGACATTAATGAAATAGATAATAATATAATAATGATAGAGGTCCATTAATCTCCATTTCTCCCCTCCCTAAAGGAGTAGTGACCGTGGAGACCGAGTTAAGGATTGACTAAATTGAAGGACTTTTAGGGACACTACAAGAAAAACTAGCTTCTGTGACCAAATTCTCAGCGACCATAACTAAATGGTCACTGAATGTTCACATTTAGTGACCAAAAGTAATTTGTAGCAAAAGTGTGAAGGGTTAAATCGTGTTGCGACCAGCGAACATTTGGTAGCTATAAGTGGTCACTAATAGTTAGACATCTTGTAGCAACTAAAGTTAAAGTTTGTAGCGACAATTTTTATGGTCACTATAACTTAATGACAATAGTAACCAATTCAACATCAATTTTTTTTACGGTTGCTACAAGTCTTTAATTTAATTATTAACAACCATTTAATTGGGTTGCTAGCAACCACTTGAATTTGGTTACTATGAAACTACTTGGGGAAATCAAATCGATTTGGTCACTAGTTTAGTTTTAAACAAATCAAGAAAAGAAAAGAAAATAAAAGAAAGATGGGGGGTGAAAATGCAAATAATGAAAAAATACAGCCATATCTTTCTTTCGTTTCTTCATCGCTCTCTTTATCTCTCGCCTACTCTCTCCTTCTCCCTCTCGGTTCTTGGCTGAAATTCCAGAAATTAATTGGAGAAAATTCGAATTCAAGAAGGGGTTTGAAGAAGTGAGGTATATGAAACAAATTTGAGGTTGGAATTGCAAATCCCCAATTCAATTATCGACAAAATTAGGGCTGTGTGAACGAGGGGTTATGACGATCAAGTCACATCGTTGGGAAGTCAGCTTTCCAGTGGTGGTGGCCTCCAGCGGTGGTTACATCAGACGGTTGCCGGAATCGGGCGAAGAGGACGACTAGCTGTCCAGAAATCGAATTCCAGCGTTTGGCTC